CAGTGGAAACTGAGCCCCATCCCTTGCGATCCCTTTGGGATGGCAGCAGAAGTGCTCGGAGTATGTTTGCAGAGACACCTTTGTGGCTTCTCATGCCATGACACTGAAACTAAATTTGCCATATGGCTTCTTTGAATGACATTTGGTCCTTGGAAACATCTGCAGCAATCAGTCTGAAACTACTTTTGGAGCTTAAACCATCGGAGCAGTTGTGAGGGGCTTTGCTTGTGTTGACCTGAGCCAGACAACACTGGGTTGAGGTCGGTGCGGTCAGCAGGCTCGCAGCGGTCATTGGCACATGGGTTATTGCTGATGCTCTCCTTAGGTCACACAGCTTTCCCTGTGCCCACATTTTAAAATTTGTTTTAAAAGTTCCACTGGTGCTGGCTGTCCCCTTGACACACTCGTAACAAAGACAAGTTCAGTGGCTGTGGGGAACTTTCTGTCCCGAAGAGCGTGGGCTTTCCCAGCGCTTCCCTCGCTCTGCAGTTGCTCTGGTTCCGTGGGGAGGCTCGTTACCTTTGTGATGCCTCAGCAGCTGGCGTTCCTTTCTTCTGTGCAAGGGTGTTTGTGCCCAGATAAACACTCTCCGACCAACAACATAGGTGTGAAGAGCAGCACAACATGTTTTTTAGCATTTATGTCATTTCTGCTTGGATTTACCTTTGCCTTAACTTTGTGTATGACGATCACCAGAACTTCAGCTGCACGTCTCCGTGTCAAAGCTTGTGAGTCCCTAGCAGTGATTCAGTGGCACAGTGGTGCTTTTTTGTTTTTCCTCTGACACATTTCCTGCTTTTCTGCATTGCTACATGAAATGCAGAGGCACAGACTAATCAGCTATTTTTATTGAGTTAGGATTTGAGCTTTGGAGTTGGCATGCAGATTAGGGAGCCTTTGTGGATTGTCAGGGTGAGGTGTCTGCAAACCACACACAAAATGTGGCACTCGGACAAATCTTTTCTTGAGTGTGGGAGTTTTCTTGTGTGTTTTAAGTGAGTTGCATGGAAATCTAGCTCTCAGTTCCTTTCCTCCTGGCATTATCCACTGCTAGTGTATCACAATGAATCTATTATGGGTACAATTGTTCACTCGTAACGTGTTGTGTTTTGTTTCCTCTGCAAGGCTGGGCAAGGTGGATGTTGACTCAAGTTCATTCACATCCGAGGAGCTCAAAAAAGCGTTGGCTAAAATGAAGGAAAGTGAGAAAGCAGAAAGAAAGGTAAGGAGAGTTCCCTGGTTCTAAAGCGATGCACAGTACACGGATGCAAACACTCTACGTTATGCATCTCAGAAGTACGATGGTTAAAGTAATTGCTTGGGAAAAGCGTGCAGACTAATCTCCTGGTGAATAAGGATCTAAAATGCCTTTGCTAGCCTGTTAGTGACATAGTTCCCTGGGAAACTCTCACCCCTTTTTGTACTGATCCTGGGTTTTCTGTAAAAATGGAAAGCTTTTGTTCGGGTCGGTTTTATTCATTTCAAACTTAAAGGCTTGGTGTTCCAACCAGCTTATAAGTACTTAAGCGTATTCTCTTGGCTCAGGGTGTTTCTCGGTAATAATTGTCCTGTGGGTTGTTGGGGAAGAGGGGCTGTGGTGATGGAGTGGGCTGGGATCTGCAGTTTAGCAATGGATCAGCCATCAGATGCTGCTGCTTGCTGGTCTTTACTCAAGTGAGTGGGATCTCAACTAGCAAACCAGGTCCATGGTACCCACAGAACCGTCCTTGTGAGGCACCCAGACACTGAATTTCTTACTGCCCTTCTTGGTGCACCGATGCTAGACTGCAGCTCTGGGATCACTCCTGTGACCCCAAAGCAGGTGTAGTCAGCAAGCTCTCCAGTGTGATGCTGCTCCCCTAAGTTTTCAGATACCAATGTGGCTAAACCTGAATTAATAATGCAAAAAAGTAACTTGCAAACGCTTGTGTGAACCCATGGGCTGATTTCCTTTCCATTGTTTGGAGGTATTTTTATCCGTTGTTTTGATTTATTTGTTCAGCTGCCATTTGGTTCACAGGCACGTCTGCAGACCCCAAAAGGAACGAATTGCAGTATGACAGTACTTGTAAAGGAAGTTACTTTGCTGTTCACTGTCCTCCTAAGCATAGGGAACTGCAAGAAGTGTTGTGCAGCTGAGGTGCTTCCGTTCTGGCTTTGGTGATGGTGACAAGCCACTGGATGTAGCGTCCCATGCCGCTGGCACAGTGGGTCCAGAAGTGATCTCGTGGTTTAGGTGGCCAAGCGCATGTCCTGGGCAGTAAAGCCCAAATGGCTGTGGTTAAGCATGGGCTGGGGTTTCCTTACACAAGCTGTTACAAATAGTCCAGAATCCAAAGTAAAATAGAACGTAGGTGCTGCCTTCAGCCTTCTCCAGGCTCAGAGCTGGTTCCCAGCCACTGGCATGACACTGGTGGGATGATACGTGACTCCTCAGGTGGATCCCAGCCTTCTCCCCCTTCCACTCGGTGGTATTTCCTTAGGCCCTGGCTGCTCCTGCTGCCTCGGCGTTGTCTCAGTCGGAGGAAAACTGAGGTAGGAGTTGAGTCTCTGAAGTCTTGGAGTTGCAGAAAGTCTTTTTCCCCCCTATCATCAGCACCAGGGCATTATTTTGTTTTCTGTAAGATTATTTACGTAGCAGCCAGCATTACTGATAGCAGGGCTTCTTGAAATGAGTGTCATTTAAATGCAAAAATTACCGATACTCTATTATGGGAAAATAAGTGATATTAAAAAAGCCCTGTTAGAATAGCTATTGTCCCAGCGGCTGGGCTAAAACCAGCTACATCTAATGGACCTAAAGTACTCCATTTAAAATCACTCCTGCAGGGAGCAAATTCATCCTTGAAGTAACTGTGTCAAAGTAAATTGAGTTACACCAAGCGTGTTCCCATCTATGCTCCTGCACAAGCAGTTCCGGGCGGTTGGGGTGGGGATGGCGGTCAGTGTTACCGTGCGGTACCTATGGTGATTAGGGCAGTGGTCATGAGCGCTGATTGTATGGCTGGGTTAGATTGACAGTGCTGTACTTCCATCACTCATTTTTTTTTCCCCTGATTGCTCCAGCCCTTGGCTTCTGTTCCCAGGAGGGGGAGCACTGGACAGGCAAACCCCCTAGCTGGGGACCACTCCTGGATAAAAACGCATTTTAGTATTTGTGTTTGTGGCAGAGTCCCTTTCAAAAGGGGATTTCTTGCTTTCTCCTGCTGTTGGGGCAGCCCACCTTCAGACTGGCCTCTCTGCTTCCTCTGTCCCTACAGCAGCAGGCTCTGTCCCCACCTGCCCCGGTGCCACCAGTGCTGGAGAATTGGTCCCTGCTGGCTCTGCGGCTCTCTCAGATCTCTGGCGGAGCCTTTTCCTTCTCACCGTCTGCCATTCCCCAGCTCTCTGGGTTCATCAGAGCCCTTGGGGTGCTGTTTGTATGAGAGAGCCGAGCCGTGCTGCAGGATGAGCTATCTCCTGGCCAAGCCGCATGGCACGGCGCTTCCGCTGCCCTAGCTTGCAAGCTGGTGCTCCTGCCTTGCTTTCTGACAGCTTCTGGCCCCAACACTGAGTGTGAACGTCTCCCTGAGAGATAAAGCCATCTTGACAAAAGCGGCTTCATATGCATCCAAGGAGATCATAGAATTATAGAATCCCAGAATGGTTTGGGTGGGAAGGGACCTTAAAGCCCATCCAGTGCCACCCCCTGCCATGGGCAGGGACACCTCCCACCAGCCCAGGTTGCCCAAAGCCTCATCCAGCCTGGCCTTGAACCCCTCCAGGGATGGGGCATCCACAGCTTCTCTGGGCAACCTGGGCCACTGCCTCACCACCCACACCATAAAGAATTTCTTCCTTAAGATCTCCTTGAGCAGGTGGTTCCGTCTGGACAGCACCTCCGGAGGTCTCCAGGCCCGTCCCTGGCTCCAAGCGAGGTCAGCTCTGAGATCGGGGAGGGTGCTCAGGGCTTTCTGCAGTCAGGTCTTTGAGAACATCCACTTGCAGGCAAGCTGGGAACAGCAGCGCTGCCCGCCTCTGGGCTTTGCATTGTTCTGGAAGGCGCGTAGGACGCAGGAGAGGTGTACAAAGTCCGAGGTGCAGGCTTAGCTCCTCGGGGAGAGCTTGTTTGTGCACAAGGTGGGTCTGAGACAGATAACGGGGCTCCTGGGCTTCTCCGAAGGACCCTCCAATGCTGCCCCTGCATCACTGATGCACAGCGGTAAACCCATTTGCTAGGTTCCCCTCTTAAATCTGGGGCTGGGGTTTCTTTCTATGTCTTTCTTGGCTGTCTTCATCACCTGCCTTCATATCTGGTTTCCTCCTGCTGCTTTCAAGGCCCACGAGGAAGAGGTGAGGAAGAAGTTCCGGCCCATCGAGCAGCTGAAGGAGGAGTTTGAAAAGCTGAACGTGAAGATGGAAACAGATTATGAAATTATGGTTAAATTAATCGGAAAATTCAACAGCTCTGCCTCCACACTGGATGAAAAAGTAGCGGCACTTTATGATCTTGAATATTATGTTCACCAGGTAACAAAAATGCGTTTAATAACTACCGTGTAAAATGCAGGGGATACGGTGTCATAAATGTAGGTTTATTTTTCTTATCGGTCTCAGGTAATACAAATTGCTTAATTATCATAATCCTGGGACAATAACAGACAGCAGAGGGCTACTGCAGGCTTATTTTATATCCGAGTTTGAATAAATCATCGCTCGTACCAGTAGCGAGCAGTTTCCTAGGGGTTAGCGTTGCCTGATTTGTTGTCTGCTCCCAGGCTTTTTTCTTGCCCTCTCTTTTTCTTCTTTTTATGTGCTTAATGTTACAAAACAGGGTTTTTTCTGCTGTTTTTGGGTAAGTATGGTGGTGGCTGCTGAAAAAAATAATTATTTTCTCACTCCTTCTGTGGAAAGCATCTGGGGTTGCAGATACATCCCCTTGCAGCAGTTCACAGAGGATGTCTTCATACCAGGGAAGGTGACAGCACCCAGACCCTGTATTTTGTCTGTGGCATACGAAGTGGCCCATGGAGCCCCTCTCGCAGCTGGGCCGGTGGCACCAGTGGCTGAAGGCTCAGGCGAACGGCAAGTTGCTGAGCATCAGCTGAGCCGTGCTAATCGGCCCTGCGTGAGGTTGAATATATTTCCTGAAATCTGGCTTCCCCAGGCTCACACTATTTTCCCCCTTCCTCAGGTCTCCCTTGCTCTGCTTTCAGCTCGCACATTTTTACCTCCCGTTGATCGCAGGCTCTGGACACGCTGCTCTCCTCCCTCCTGCTTGGCTGCAGCGGCTTGTGTTGGGTGTCCGGGCATGGGGCTGTGTTCTGCCTCGTGGGAAAGGCTGGGCTTCCCCCTCCCCAGCGACTGGGAGGGTCTGGAGAGGACTGGGAGAGTTTCCAGTGTCGCTGTCAGTGACTTTATCATCTCAGAGGGTGAATGGAACAACACTTGGGAGACACCAGTGCAGGACCTTGCACTGGAATGGGGCTTCTGGAAACCAAAGGTGGTGTTTCGGGGAAAGGTAGCTGAAGGAATGTGCTGCTGAGAGAGGGAGTCCATGCGCCAGCTAACAGAAATGTTCTTGCCAGGGTTCTTTGTCTTGAATTTCCACACTACATCTTTGTCATACGCATGCAGAGGCTTCCTTGCTGTTTGTTCTCAATGCTTTTGTTTCACTGACGGCATCTGCCTGACTCAGAGAATAAGTGTGAACAATGGGCGCCCAAAGAGCTTCGTATTTATACTCAGGGCTAATTCTGTCTCGTTAAGGATGCCAGAGCAGCGGGCCAGCATGCTAAAAAGCAGCCCCCGAACACCCTGGGGTGCTTTGGATTCCAGCGTAACGGTCTGGACTAGTCCAGCAATAACAGTCTGGACTATTCCAGCATAAAATGCCTCCTGTTTAGCAGCGTGGGATGGGGCAGACAGCTCCAGGAAGGTGAGAGGAGCGGGGAAACGGTCCCCACACCCTGTGCAGGGACTGGAGCATCAAAGGGAACCACATCCAGCATCAAAGGGGTCAGAAAGGGGGAAACGGCCGGGAGGCTGGCAGGGAGCACAGAGGGCTCCTTTGTGCATCCATCACAACGTCGCTCTGTGCCCGCGCTGTCGGGGCAGATGGCTGGGCAGCACCTTCTCATCAGGCAGGAAGCTGATAAGAAATATGACTTGTCTCTAAGCCAGCATGGCTTTTCCTCCTCTTTCTTCTTCCAGCCAGTTGAATGCATCCAGAGCATTATCTCTGCTTGGTTCTGACTTGAGCAGCACTGGCTTAATGTAATTACTGAATCGCAGCCAAAGACGCTTGTGCCGCATCACCCTGGAAGGGCTGAACTTGTTGGGGGTCCTCTGCGGTGAGCCACAGCCGTGCCGCTGGAGGGCGGAGAGCCTTGCAGGTGTGGGTGTCCCAGGGCAGCGTGCACCCGTGTGTGGGACTGGGGACGGCTCTGCTGCTCCCTCTTCCCCCAGCCTCCATCGGAATGGTGATGTGCCACAGCTTTTGATAATCGTTCGGCTCCTGGCTCCCTTGCTGCTGCCTCCAGGACACAAAACACATGTTGGGTGGAAAATGCCATGCCCTGCAGGGTTTGCAAGCCAAAGATGCTCTCTGCTCCGTGGTGTTGTTGTGAGTTTCCCAGAGCGCTGGGATGTGAAGCAGCACGTGCCTCCGAGCTCTCTGCGAGGGAGCGGAGGGGAAGCCGGTACCGAGCCGGAGGAGAGATGCTCTCTCCTGCTCTTGAAGAGTCTAGCCCAAGGGCTCTGTGTTTGCTCAGCTTTTGGTTGCCAGCTCTGGTTTGCTTCTCATCAGGCAGGATTCGACTTGGCATGTTTGGGAGCCCATCCTGGAGACAGAGCAGGAAGGTTTGGCTTGCTGGCTTATCTGTAATGCATAAAAACCGAATGCAAATGTGAAGCGGCCAGAGCATAACTCATTTATAAACAGAATTCACGGTGCTCACACAGCAGTGTGCGGAGCCAAGGCCCGTTCTCCTGCGTTGCAGGCTCTTTCTCTCAATTATTTACTCTCCTTATCTTCCTCTCTCCCCTCCTCTGACACTCTACACCATTTCTCACTGCTAATTTCCTCTCCGTTGCGTGCGGTTGACAAGCTGCTTCTTCCTCGCTCTCGTTTTCTAACATCTCTCTCCCCTCCCCTCCCCGGTTTCTTTCTCCTCCGATCTGAAGCAGCTCCCTGAATAACGGCTGTCATATTTGCTCTTCTCCCATCCCTCTCCTCGCCCACCTTGCCTGTGTACTTTACTCAAGAGCTCTTTTGATCTTTGGCTTTCTTCTGTGCCGATTTCCGTGGACTGAAGTGAGGCACGAGCTGCAGCCTCGCAGCATCCTCTGCTCCCCAGAGAGGTTAATGTACCTTCAAGTTGTTGAGTTTTGGGGGTTTTGTTGGATTTAAAACGGTGACTGAGGGAAGGAGCTCTCTCAACAGACTCCAGTTAAAAAAAAAAAAAATAAATACATCTGCAAAATAAGCTTTACAGCACAATTTCTGTTCTGCGGTTGAGGTCTCGCTGGGGCTGGCCTGAAAGACTCTGGTGCTGACGGGGCTACAGCAATGGTTGGTTTTACCACGACTGATGCTGGATGCAAACTTTTGCCTTGCTGTGCATTCCCTCATGAGCAGAAGCCAACATCCAATTCCAGCGTTAAAACAGCCTTGTAGATTTTACAGAGGCTGAGCAATGAAAGCACCCAGTGGTCGCTGAAATTGGGTTGCTGCATAGATTGCTTTGTAGACAAAGATGGAGATGCAGAAAGGGAAGAGGACTGGCAGGTCCAGTTTATAGGGACAGTTAAAAGAGTAGGATCTGAAAGGATACAAAAGCTGCTGCAAATCCTGAATCGGCCCCAGCAGACCTGCCGAGAGCGGCTTTCTGTGGCTGGCTTTGAGAGGGACAGCAGGGGTGGATATTGTCCCGGTGGGGAGAAGAGCCGAGCTGCAGCTCCCCAGGTCCTGCTTTGGTACAGACACACCTGCGGGACACAAAGCTGAGCAGCTTCTTCATTCTCTTCTACCAAAAATACCTGACTTCTGGGCAAGTTTGGTGGAGGTACATGGTTGAGATAAAAATAACGCTGGCCGTGAAGTCTCTGTTGACTGCAAGAGCTGGAGCACGGTGCCTGAGCCCGCCGTACCCTGCACGCGTTGCAGTGTTTGTCCTGTCCCACCCCGTCTGTGGGATCTGCTTGCTGGAGCAGGGGAGGTCGGTTGGCCCGGCTGATAACTCATTTTATGTTCTATTTCCATCCACCAGCATGTGCTGTTGTCTCCCTGTCTTTCAGGGAGGAGAAATGTTGAAATTCTAAACCCAAACTTTTTGCACACACGGTTCTGAGCGTTTGTCAGATTCCCTTTTAAGCTACAAAAATAAAACCCCCAAAACCCTTGAAAAACAAAATGCATCGATTTGACATCGATGGACCAAATTTTATACTTGAAGCACTTTATGCTGTTTCTCTGAACGTTGTTTGCGAGCCACTCGGAGCCCTTTTCTAATCTCCTCTCTGAGAACAGCTGCCCACCGTGATTTGTGGCAGGTTAGCCCCGAGCCTGGTTACAGTCAAAGCCGGACGAATCCCCACTGACGTTTAAACTTCTCCCTACTGGCCGTTAGTCCAACATCATCTGCTTTAGAGAAATCATTGCTCAGGCTGCCCCGAGGGGAGGCTCCTGGCTGACCCTGCCAAGCAGGGACCGGCTTTTTCTTTCCACGTCCACATGAAATTGTTGACGGTACTCATGAAGATCACCCAGAGCCGCCCGGGCGCCTCGCTGCGAGCAGGGGTGATGCTGCCCGGGCACCATTGCTGCTGATGGCACTTAAACGTTCCCAACGCCTGGTGCTACAATTAGAGCACCAATTAATTAATTGCATTTGCAGAACAACAGTTCCGTGGGTTCCCAGTAAAGGCCTGCTCAGGTGAGAGAGCAAAGAACTGGGTTTTTGTCATCATCGGATTTACCGGATTTTGACATCACCTGAATTACTGAAATAGGTGTTGAGAATAGTTTTGACAACGAATCAAAGTATTTGAGTTTCAGGGATGCCTTCTGCGTGTGATAACAGCCACCTGCCAGCAGTCTGTGCTCCTGCAGCCGTGGCATCCCCTGCTCACTGACGGTGTTGTACAAAATTGAAGCCACAGTCGTTCCTTCTTAATTTTTAATTGCTTTTAAGACTCAGCGCTGGTTAGACTGGGAGGGAAGAGGCGCTGTGCTTTCTGAAGCAAGGCGTTCTTGAAGAGTTGTCGAGTGGCATCTGGCTGGGGGCTCTGTACTGACAGGGACCTGCTCTCTCCCAGGTGGACAACGCCAAGGACTTCCTCGCCATGGGCGGACTCCAGCTGATGATCAACGGGCTGAACAGCAGCGAGGCCGCGCTGAAGGAGCACGCTGCCTTCGTCCTGGGAGCCGCGCTGTCCAGGTGAGCTCTCTCCCACCCAGCCTGGGAGGATCAAAACCTCGGGGGACCAGGCAGGCTTGGTGCTTCTCTTCAGCTCTCTTGATTTATTTCTGATAGCAGGAGCTGAGAGCTTCTCTCATCCTGCAGCACACCAAATTGTCCTTTCCCCTGCCTCGCCCTTTCCTTGCAGCACCACTTACCCCAGTCTTCTTGTCAGTGTGTCCTCGCCCGGCTCGTTAAACTTAGCCAGAAGTAATTCAGTGTGAAAGCTATGATTGTGTCTTGATTTCCCTGGGCTCCTTGTGTAATTCCGCTGCCTCTCCTTTCCCCGTGCCAGCAGGGCGATCTCCAGGATGGTGCAGTTATGATATAGCGAGATGCTGATTTTGGAAACACAGCAACTCTCGTGGTCTTTGGAGGGATTTTTAGCTCTGACCCACAGACATAACCAAAGGGGTGTCGATCAGACACGGGGTTAGGAGCATGGTCGGCAGGCTGCACCAAGGGGAGCTTGGTCTGGAGGATGTTTGTGGTTCGTTGGAAGGTGGCTGTTGCCTGAAGGAGCGCAGTCAGCCTCGTGCTAGGGCATAACGTGTGGTGCTACAGGTGGTACTGTGTGGGCTCAATGGGGTTTATTGGTGCTCTTTTTTTTTCTAATGGGCTTTGGGGCTTTAGGCTGTGTGTGCCGCACTTTCACGCAGAAAGCTCATGCAGAGGCTCTAGAAATGCGTTGAATGGACCCAGACTTCAAGGTCAGAAGTGCAGAGTGAAGACTCAAAGTCGGGACTGTTATATCTGCTTATTTCTATGCCTAAAAATGTGGTTGCCTTCTCCACCATTATAAATTATTTATCACTTAGTCTAATATATAGTCTACAAACCTGCATTTCTTTTGCAATCTTGTATGTGATGCAGTTGGTCTTCAGCACGTGGGAAGCAATACGGCCTCATGGACAGCAGCACGTCTCCAGACTTACACCAGGACAGGATCCAGCTGATAGACTGAAACAGAGCTTGATTTACTGATCACAATAAGATACAGCCCCGCTCTTCGTATTCTGGCGTATCTTAATGTTTGAAACAATATTGTAATTTTTTCCTTGGGTTCTGTAATAGCATGTAGGCTCTTAATTATGCATTTCATAAAGAGAAAATCATGCAGAGGCTCTGGAAACATTTGCAGGTAACTTGTGAAATGATGGAGGCTATTAAATCGCTTCTTTCCTGATTTAGCTAATGTGACATGATCAAGACTGCAGAAATCCATTGTCTCACGATACCACTGTGTAGCAGTGGCCACAAAACTAATGCTTTTGTATAGCATTCCTCACTTAATTGCAAGTGCTTTTCTTTGGACATAAATAGTCTCTTTTCTCATATGACAATGTTAAAATATGCTTTGGAAACTTTCAGACCTATTTTCTTTAAAGGACATCCTGACAGATGGTAATTTTGGGTGGTTTGGATGATGTATTGTCTGGGAGCTCAGTTCCAAAACATGAGGAATATTGTGCCTGGTTTTTGGGTTTGCTTTTCTCCCTTTGCTGTGCTTGAGCTTTCTCAATAGACACCTACATGCCAACTTGTCTGCTTTGTGTGATCTGCTTAATTTGTTTGTTCATACATTTTCTCAGCTTACTCCGTGCTCCGTTTAAACTGCCAGGGGCATTTCAAACACTTCACACTGAGCGTTTTCTGATGCCTTGTGTTCTTCTGAGGGGTGGTTGTTTATTTCCTTCCCTGGTGGTTGTTCCTAGGGGCCTCAGCTAGGTGGTAGGACTTTCCAGTAAATGCCCAGAGGTGCCAGAGCTCTCTGGGCTGTAGGGACACGATCTGATCTGTCCTCATGTGCCCAGGGCTGGTATCACATCCCACGCTGGATGCTAAGCCCTGCCTGGGGGAGAGGCAGTGGTCTGCTGCTCACCTCCCAGGTCTCTCCAGCCAGGTTGGCTCAGGCCAGCGGTGTCAAGCCAGGCAAAGCTTCCAGAGGAAGATCGGGGCATGATCTTACCAGGAACTCAGCCCAGCCCAGGAGGTCATTAACTCCTGGCACAGCTGAATCTGAAAGAGGGAGTTCATGGCATTATCTGTATGCAGGAGAAAACCACCGGATACTGGACAGTCTTGGGTCAGATCCAGAATTTTTCAACTCTTAAAAACAACCAGGTCATCTCCAGATGTGCTTTGTCCTTAACTCTGATCAGGTAGTGGAGCGGGTGAGGGGTGGAACAGCCAGCTGCATCACCCAAGCCTTGCCTGCACGCAGTCCGGCTGGGACCTGGCTCGGAGAGCTGAGCTGTGCTTGGAAACCAAATTGGGATACAAGGGTTTGCAGGTGGATCGGCTTCTCGAGCCAGCGTGCCAGGTGGCTGGCCAAGACCTTGGATCAGCAAAGGCGGTAGGAGGAGAAGGTACAGCAGCAGCAGTTCAGGATTCCTCCCTCCTGGTATTGTTCCTATTTATTTGGCTTAAGCTGGACTTGCAAAGCAACCTTAGCACAGCAGAGTTCGGTCCTCAAAGCAAAGGGTCCCGGGGTCTAGTTGGCTGTGTGCTGCCGGGAGGGGTGCTGTCCTCCCGGCACCCATCTGCCCCTGGCTGTGAGCACCCATGGAAGAGGGTGACCTGATAGGGCAGAAATCACGATTTCATCTCTTGTTTCTCTGAAATGTCCTTCATTTTAGGCAATTGGGTTTTAATTGCCGAGTCTGTGACCAAATCAAACATCACTGCATCTGGTAGAGTTTTCGGAGCGGTGCCCTTACGGCAACTCTGCAACCTCATCACGGTCTCACTGTTTTTAAACCTTTAACAAAATGTTTTCCATTCAGCAGTTTGCAAAAGTAAACTTCATTTGAACAATCCTCAAGTGCTCTGATTGCAAATAAAAGTTAAATGCACTAACAAAAATAATTGCTAGGCATGTGGGATTGTACATTTAGGTATCCATAATTCACTAACAGTATATGCCAATACACAACATTATCTGGATTTTCAGTGATTGCATTAGCATAAAAGCATGTTAGCATTTATCCAGTGGTACTAACATTTAAATATATATAAGTATGAAATATTAAGATACAGCATTTTGGAGGCAAGGAAAACTACTGTCTGTAAAATGTTCTTGCATATTTTTTGAAGGTACACGCTAGCATCTTCGGATGACAATCAGCATTCGCACCATTGGGTCCCAACATTGCAAAAATGTCAATGTTTTATGCAGAGAGGAGCTATATTAAGCTAAAAAAAGATTGCTGATGAGAGAAGCGTCTTCTGATGTCCTCTAAGCTATTTACAGGCAGCATCTTCCTTTGTTTGCAGCACAGGCAGGCCTCCGTGCAATTTGTATCTAGATGTTTCACAAGACTGGAAATGTTATCCAGAAAGGATTATCCTTCTGATTAAAACCTCAATTTTTAAAAACTTTACCTCCAGGAAATGTTTTTCCACACCAATAATTTGAACATTTTAATATTTTGTAATAAAAGGATTTTTGTAATCCGTTTAGAAGGGGAATAATAATTCATGTCGAATGCATTCTTGAAGCTTTATCCCAAATGCTCCCCATCCGCATAGGGGTGAATTAGAGGTGAGGATGGAGAGAAGCTAAGCTGTGGGACCTTCAAGGCAAAGAGAAGCAGTTTGTGTTTCATGGGGAGAGGGCAGAAGGGGTGAGAATTGGCATCCCAAAGTGGGGAGCCAGGGGGAAAGTCACTTTGTGCAGCTGCACTGAGAGATTTGTGGTGTTTTGGCCGGTCCTTTAAAAACCCGAGTGCTGTTCAAACTGCGTAGCTGGGGACAGGATCTCAAACTGATGGTCCGAGCTCGTGTTTGCCTTGTGTCCCAGCAGGGCAGTCCCCAGCACAGCCCCTTCCAGCAAGCGCAGCGCTGCTGGGGTCTCGCTGGTCCCTGCTTTGGCCCCGAGTGATACAACAAGTGTTACAGGACTTGGGAAAGACTTGGGAGGAAACTCATCGCAGGTAATGACGCATCATCTTGTGGGAGCACTCAAGAGTTTTCTAGAGATGGCTCATGTCATTATCTTAACCATTTCCCATAAAATTAAATCCCTTAAACTGTGGCTGTGCATCCCAGCCATCCCAGTCGCCGTTATTCCTGTGGAATGCTGTCTCCCTGTCCCTACTCTACCCGCAGGTATTTTGGTGGCATCTGTTCTGCCAGGGTTCCCGACTTCCATGTTTTGTTAGAGAAGCAGCAGCTTCTTCAGGATGTCTTCATCAAGAGGAAAAAGCTTCCACCAGATTTAACGATTTTGAATTAAGTCCAGCTTCGCAGTGAAACTGGTGGCACTCACTGCTGTTAAATAACATTCAGGGCCAAGCGATAAACCCGGGAAAAGTAAAACTAAAGACCTTGCTTCGATGTTGTCTTGTAAGGACATAAGAATTTCTGGGCAGAGGAATAAATCTCGTTAGCTTAACAAGCACTGTCCCTACCCATTTATTTCAAATCCGTCTTTATGTTCATCCCTTCCTCCTCCAGCTTCTCCTTTTCCATCCTACAATCTTTGCCCGTCTCTTTATCCATTTTCACTGTTTTCTCAGTGGCCCTGTTTGCCATCGCCGTGTGTTTGCCACCTCCCGGTTGCAGTAATTCCAGCTTGACTCCCTGCTCGCTTGTAATTTCTTGCTTTGTAGATGGTCTCTTCTATTTTTATTTGAACTCCTGACTTGCGTGGAGTTATCAGCCTCGCTGCACTTAATTTCACATTAATTTGATTGGGTCACCTCAATTTCTTTCTGTAACGATAATGAACTCAACCTATTTAGCCTTTCCCCATTATGAATAACCTTAACAAAAACTGCAGTGCGGTACAAAACTGTGTTTCATCATTATGCTTAATTACACAGAAGAATAAATCCCCAAACATTTTTCAGCATCTGAAATCTAACAAGAAAGTGTAATTAACAATTAAATAGTAAACTGCCATCCTTGTGCTCTCAGGAAGACAGAGAGAGCAGACCCCGTGAGAAAAATCTAGAATCCAAGGTTTTCTGCTGGTTTTGTTTTCATAAACGCTTTGGTAAGTTCCATGTGGGAAGTGCTGGTGGCTGGAAGCTGTCGGGGTGCTGCAGCGGAGGGTCGGGTGCTCATCCCATGCCAGGTATGTTTTCCCCAGGTGCCTGAAACTGCTAGAGAGTTGACGAGATAGGATGGACATCTTCACCTGACCCTGGGGGACTGGTTTGAGGTGGGATGGACATCTTCGCCTGACCCTGGGGCACTGGTTTGAGGTGGGATGGACATCTTCGCCTAACCCTGGGGGACTGGTTTGAGGTGGGATGGACATCTTCACCTGACCCTGGGGCACTGGTTTGAGGTGGGATGGACATCTTCGCCTGACCCTGGGGCACTGGTTTGAGGTGGGATGGACATCTTCGCCTAACCCTGGGGGACTGCTTTGAGGTGTGATGGACATCTTCGCCTAACCCTGGGGCA